CTCCAGTACTGGACTCCATATTTTTTTTACATTAAAAAAAAAAAAATTTCTCCAGTGAGAATCGAACCTCAAACACAGTTTTAATCATCTCATATCTTAAATCACATAACCATCCAATGCAACCCTCTTACCTTTAGTGGACCCCACTTAAACGTGGGTAAAATCGCTCTCCTGGTTAGAAATACTTTGGTGACAATTAATCTTATATCTATTCTCATGAAACTTAACACCCTAACACTAGACAGTACCCTATATTTTAATTTAATAATTTTTTTAATTGGATAATACAATTAATAATTTTTTTAATTAATTTGCAATAAATTAAAATGTACTAATATATATTTTTTTAATCTATGCTAAATGTTTTTATTTTTTGTAAAAAATTAGTTTTAGTCAAAAAAATCTTATTCTTTAAATTGAAAAAGACGAATTAAAAGAATAATATCATTATTGTCTAGCCATATTATTAAAAAAATTAATATGTTTATGTAAATCAATCATGAGTTACAAAATGTATATCTATAAATTTGTACTGTAGTATTTAAAAATAAATTATTTATTTAAAAGATCATATAGTATATTTTTATGGTTATGAAAAATAGTAAAAAGAAATTAAAAAAAAGAAAAATTTAAATAAAAACTGAAAAGAGACTATTTTGTAATTTTTGTAAATTTTTGGGGTTCTTTTAAATTTTTAAAACTATTAGGGTATTTTTGTAATTAAAACAAATAGAATTCGACGGAAAATAGCAAATTGGACAAAATCGGCTAACGGTTAGATAGTTTAAGGTAATATTGACTAACCGAAAAAGAACAGGGTAGAATTGACGATGCATGTAAAGATTTGGGTAGATTCGCCAATTTTTTCCCAAACGGTCTAACTATTAAACATTTTAGTTTATATTTTATTTTTGTGGTTATTAAAATCTAGTAATTTGGTGATAATTTTATGAAATTTATTTAGTATAATCGCTTTTGATTGTAGAAGTTTCAATTTTATTTCAATTTTATTCATTATCAATTTTAATAATAACTAAAAATTAAAAATTTTTAAAGAATAAGTTTTATATTCTATATGAGTCTTATTTAAATATCTCAACAAAATATTTAATATAATATAATTTTCACTACATAATTTATTTTTCAAGTTTAATTACATAACAAATATATATTTAGATCGATCTAAAAAGATAGTACACTAAAAAAAGTATAATAGACAGTTTACATCAAATATGGTGTAACACTATTCATTGCACTAAAATAGCACAATAATTTAGTGTCTTTGTTGGAAGACAAACTTTACACCAAAATACCAAATTTAGTTTTCTATTGTCTTGGTTGGAGATACTTTAAGAACATAAGTAGACTTAAAAATTTGATTCACCAATCGTCTAGGTCACTCTAGTAAACATTAAACATTAAGTTTTGTTACTTACCTAATGTGCTAAGACTTCAATGTTTCACAGGATTATAGTAGAATCATAGAAAGCAATAAAGAATCTCTAATTTACTCTAAAATGTTGACAAAGATATTGTTTTCCATCATGTAGCACAACAAAGGTTCTATGCATACAAAAGTACGTTCAATAGCCAATCAATTGGTACCTTCTATGATAATTTTGATCACTAGGAAAAATATTGCAAAGTCACATACGTAACGTCCTACAACAAATGTAAATCTATCCAGTTACCTCCTAACCACGCTCTTGACATCACCACGTACATTTCCTCCCACCGCCTCCGCCACTGGTACAACAGTGTCGCCGTCATTGGTACTTCAACCTGTCTGATCCGCAATTTCACCCTAATCTGGAACGCCATTGGAGCCATGTGTCTCTTTATGGATATTCTAAAGGAGATGAGATTTGGAATATCTGGAATGAAATTGATTAATAGATATCCAAAACTTGTATAAAAATTTTATTCTATTATTAAAATAGTTAGATCTTATTGTATCATAACTAATATTATTTGGATATTTTTGAATTAATTACAAGATGTTAAGAAATTTTACAATTTACGTGTTATTTTAAATTAATTGCATTACCTGTATAGTTTTGAATTTATTGAAACAGTCAACGTCAAAATTTGTTTACTTTGGTTAAAGAAATATGTAAACAAGTGAAATTAAATAGTTATGTAAAAACATTGATTACACTCGATTTTTTTAATTTTTTTAATCTATTAATCAATTTCATTCCAGATATTCCAAATCTCATCTCCTTTAATATATAGGATTAAAATGTCGCGACCTAGACGTTAGATCTTGGACTAATAATCCTTAAATGACTGTGAATATTTTTAACTATCACTTCATCTATCAAAGTGTTCACGAACTGGGATTAATCACTGAGTTGTGTAGAATTTTTTTTTTTTTTTTGAAACGGCAATCATATGTATTAAAACCAGAAAAAGATCACAACCACATGATTGAGTATATCAACCAAACTAGTAAAGCCAATCGGCCAAGATTGAAATTAAATTACAATCCTCCTCACATGCCTTTCCAACCCACACAAGAGTAACCATGTTCCAATCATCTGTGCATACCTATTAAATCGGATAATTGACCACGTTGTGGAAGTTTCACTAGATTATAGAGGTCAAGAATGCACTAAAAATGTGAAATTAGGAAAAAATACCGACCAAAACTAGGTGTTCGAAATCTACTACCATCGCACTAACTATTTCCGTTAATTCTAATCAGGTTATAAAAACCTAATAAGTTGTCAGTATGAGCAACCTCTAACTCAATTTCCATCAAATACATCATATGCGATCGGATATCTCAAGAGAATCCTTAACAGCTACTGTCGGCAATGAACATGACCAAGTCCTATGCGAGTTCATGATAAATTTGTTTAACTAGTCGCATCCGGCCCTAAGCATGCACATATAAATACAAATACGGCTTATAGCCACACACAATTCCACATTTATCAAAGAAAAAGTTTACTCAACAAATACACCCGAAGGCAAATAAGACCACCTTTAGGGCTTAGTAACAATATCCAAACATACTTTTAAAAATGTGTTTGTGTGTAGCGTCGTTTCAAATGTATCAATACTCCCAGGTTTTGCAATAATTTTAGAAAATAGTGAAGATTATTTACAAGTACTATTATTAGGAGTTATCGCCTCCGTGAAAGTGTTGCCTGCAACACGTATTGAATAACACTAAAGAAATACTAAGATATTGTCGATAAAGTCTACTTAGTGACCTAGTATTATATGTATCTATATATATTATATGTATATATATATGTATATATATATATATCCTAATAGTTTTGCTTTTACAGTTTAATATATGTCTAGTTGAAATGCCATAGTTTCTTATAGATTTAAAGTCTTTTAGCTAAGGTTAAGTCTTATAAATTTTAAGATTCATTCTAGAATATCTAACTTATTATATAAGAAGGCAATAATGCGTGTTTAACTGGCTTAGAAATTTTGTCAAAATTTAAAACTTTTAAGTACTAAGCTTTTGTTTTACAATTCAGGATGAGTGATATTTTCAGGTATTTTCAGCAAATTGATGGTGTCACTGCATGAAGAGTCCGGCTTCATATTATATTATTGGAAAACCCTGGCAGTGTAATTTACAATGCAACAAGTATCTCCTAAATCTGAGTTTTTCACAGAGAGTTATGTTAAATTCAACAGACCCGTACGATGTTACCGTCAAAAAAAACGGTCGTGGGTTTTCACAATTTCTAATCGATTTTTAGTCTAATAATTTCAACTTAAACCTAAAAAAAGTACTAAGATGAATCTATTAATATATAATACAGTAATATTATGATAGAAATCTTCATCTAACACATGGCTAAACTAGAGTAAGGTTTCTTAGTTACCTCTTTTGAGCTAGATTTTCTTCCTATCTACGTTGTTGTTGCTAGCTTTTTCTTTGCAACCAGATAGCTTCTCCTCCGTAATTGTTCTTTCGTACAAAATGCAACTCCAAGAAAGCTTCTTCACTCTGTTTCTCTCACTATTTTTCTGCGTTTTTTTCCCTTCTTGATGGGTGTATTTGCCTACAAGTCCAGCCCTATTCGTACTAGTTTAACTTCAGCTTGCTTTGCCTATAAGTTTAGGTCTTAGGCCCGTACTCACCATTCTATAGACTTTACAGCTCTTGTATTCAATTGCTTAGTAAGCTTATGATACCACATGTTATTGGGCTACAATTCCAGCATTCCTTTTTCCCCATCTTTGCTTAATTAGATCACTAGGTTGGATGAGTCGAATTACTACTAGCTTGGATGAGTAAGGTGTTTGATTCAGCAAATATTTATTAGTTTACTTTGTTTTTTTGCTGCTAACTATTGCACCGCAAACTTATTGATTAACCATTCCTCATTTTGATTACATTTTGGCTAATTCTTTTAGCTCATGTTGCCTACACCAAACTACATGTATGGTTCACCTACTTACGTGTTTTTTTTTTTTTTTCTTTCTGTTGCTTCCTTTCTTTTAATCAAATAGCTAGTTAATATATTAGTTATTGTTAAAGTTTTATCTTTTAATTAGTTATTTAAATATTATTATCTTGACTCTATATATTTTTCTTTAAAACTAATTCTTATATTGTTTTACACACTATAAATTATTCAGACCTAAACAAGTATAGTCATTCTTGGTTTAGACATTGTATATTATAAAATTATCTATATTTACCTTTATACGATCATAATAAGGTAAAATATAAACGGTAAATTTGAAGGGTGTCACACTGAATCTATTCTCCATTCATCAAATCCGCTAGCGACACGCTACGGAACAATAGAACCAAAGAAAAAGCCCCTAAATGAAAGAGAAATCGAGATCCCCAAATGAAGAAACCAGACTCATGAATTAAAGAGTTATAGCAAAAGACTTTTTTAAAAATTTTGAGCTCCTCCATCCCCAAAATGTTTACTTTGGTCACCATCGAATCACTTTACTTGCTTGCCACGCACTTCTGACAATTTTTTTTTTTTTTTTATACTCAGAAAAACGAGAAAATGAGAACATTTTTTTTTTAAAAAAAAAAAAAGAAAAAAGAAAAGAAAACTAATTGTCAAATGTCAACCTTAGTCAATAAAAGAAACTCAAAAGAGAAGAAAATAGATTTTTGGCCAAAAGGAGATCAGTGCATAAAAACAATCGGGGTGATTCAAATTTTCGAAGACCTCCATTTCTGATCTCCCGGATCTATTTTAAAGCCCACAGAGTAAGGGGAAAACCATAAACATAAAATCGGAGGAAAACGATTTCGGAGACGGGAATCGGAATGGACAGCAGATTGATTCAGATGTGTATAGAAGCCGCCGCTGAAAGCAGCGACGCCGTGGAGGCATGGCGGCGGCAGCGGCGGACGTTGGAGCGGATGCCTTCTCTGCTCGCTGAAGCTCTCCTTCACCGCCTACTTCATCGCGGCCTGCTTTTCCCGTCTTTACTCGAGTAGGTTCATTATCTTTTTTCATGTTTGTATCAATCAATCTCATTTCAGTTTTTCTATCAATCGATTATTCCTACGAGTTTTACTTTTGAATTAGATGCTTAATAACTTAAAGGTGATACTTCGATAGCTTTCCAAAGAAATCTTACTCGGTGTACGCGTGCTTTTGTTGCGCGTGCGTATGTAGATGCTTGAATGTTGTTCTGATTTTCTGTGCTATTTATTCTTTTATATATGTGTGATTTTGAGGTGTCCTTTGCTCTTGTATCGTTGTGATCTTAACTCATTACTTTATGTTTGATGCGACAAAGATGACTGATTAATCTTCAGAGACGTTTATGTTAAGGTTGAGGTTAGGCTCCTTCTGATGATTTTTTTTTTTTTTTTTTTTTTTAATTCGGATGATGTGGGGAAGTATTTAGTGAATTCCAAAAAGTTATAGTTAGGAATGTGAATTGTCAACGTGTTTGTAAAAAGTATGTATGATCAGGATTGTCAGTGCACATTCGTACTTTTATGTATGCTATTAAGAGATAGAGATAGGAAATTGCGAGTGTCTTTGGGAATTATAATGAGACAAAATTGGTAGATTTCACTGATTAGTAAATAACATCAATGTGCATAAGTTTCGCAGATTCAGATTACTGCATGTTAGTCAACTTTTTTGGGGTTGCTTTAGTGACAGTATTTTTGAAGTTAGTTTCTCTCCCACAATAAATGAAACTTGAGGAATTATACACTTTTTGGAGTGCAACTTCGGCTCTAAGTACTGTGCCGGTTGAGTTGATATACTGGCTGCATCATGGTGATTGAATTATTGGTGACATCGCAGCCGGATAGTTCAATGTTTCCTGAACAGTGAATTCTGATGTTGCCTCCTTTCTCCAATGTGTGCATTGGATTGGAGCTAACACAAAAGAAACCAGCACGATACACCATATTGTGATCTTTTCCCAGGATTGGACCTGGTGGGATCGCCGATGGTTTAGTTAGTACTTTTCCAGCTGTGGTGTTTTAGAGTAGAATCTATGTATCTAGAGTTAAAATGATCAGAACCTGTCTTTTGTAGTAACTATGATCGGCATGGTTCTGTGGGTTTTTCTGTTGGGGGCTACCAAAGTAGATCCTCTGGAAGGATCTTTTCTTTTTCTGGAATATCCTAATTTAGGAGGCAATATGTAATAATTATTCGAATTCCTGTCCTTTTGCGATAAGCCTGTACCTTGATGCATAGGGGGACAATTTGGGATTGTTTCTGACCAAGTTAGTACATGTGTCGCTTCCTTATTAAAGATATATGTTACGTGTATCGGATCCTAAACCAAATCTGGCCTTTTTACAGAGTCTTCAGACACAGTGTAGAGAAAATGGATCTGAGAGGTCAGAATTGTGTGGACGCAGAATGGATGGCATATTTGGGCTCTTTCCATTATTTGAGTTCACTAAATTTGGCAGATTGTTATAAAATTAGTGGTGCAGCTTTGTGGTCTATAATAGGTATTTTTATTGTGATTATTTATCTAGTATGATGGATCAAGCCTTTTATACTGTATAGCATCTCTTCTGTTATATATCTAACTTATTGCTTTGCAATTTCCTTGCTTTGTATAGGCATAACAAATCTAAAGGAGCTTGACCTTTCTAGATGTTCTAAGATGAATGACGCGGGCATTAGGCATCTTTCATCTTTCCCAAGTTTGGAGAGGTTATGCATTTCAGAAACAGGTGTTAGTTCGGAAGGGATTAGGCTTCTTTCTTCATTAACTAATCTGTATTACCTGGACTTGGGAGGTCTGGCAGTTAGTGACTTGGCTCTAAGTTCTTTACAGGTAGGAAATTTGTGTGCTTGAAATGTTATGAAGATCTTCATTCTATTTGACACTGTATTTCCATTCACTTTCAGCCTTCTCTTCTCCTTTTTTTTCTTTTTAAAAAAATTAAACATAAAATAAAGAAAGAGCTATGTTTTTGGGTATTTTAAAATTTGCCTTGGACACAACTAAAGTAAGAAATGAACTTGTGAGTATAATTGGCAACCGAAACTTTGTTAAACAAATTGAGAAGGTGTCCTCAATACGTTTCGGTGGACAAGGTTGTTAATGTTTGGCTGAGTGCATAATCTGTTTGTGTCAATGTTTGGCTTGATGGTGTAGATCATTTGGTAATGTTGACTTTGAAATGTGCCCTTTAAGTCCAAACTCAGCATCAGTATATAAGTAACAATCATCCCAGCTGCTTTCTAGAAAGTGATCAGATCATTGCTGTATAGGTTCGTATACATTTGAACCATTGTCTCTCAGAGAAGTTGTTGCTTCAGACTTGTTCTCTGGTTACATTCTTAAATAAGCTACAAGTTTTGACACTTTACGAGTGAATATATGGCGATTGGTAATTTGTTTATATCTCCATAGTGTGATTATTTGTTGCACTGTGATTATATCTCCACAATTGATTGGTAATTTTGTTTATTGGATTATATATGCTGATCAGTCATTCATCATACTGTCAGGGGCTCAAGAAACTTCAGTTTTTGGATCTATGGGGCAGTGAAATATCAAATAGTGGAGCTGCTCTCTTACAATATTTCCCAAAATTGAGTTCTCTGAATCTGGCATGGACCAAAGTTACAAAATTGCCAAATTTATCGTCTTTGGAATTCCTAAACCTGAGCAATTGCACTATTACTTCTATATTTAAAGGGGAAGGTGACAAAGCTCGTCTAGCAAAACTAGTTGCTTCTAATGCCACGTTTGCTGATGTATCAGGGGCACTTTCAAATGTTGAAATCGCTTTCCTGTCTCACTTGGATCTATCAAATGCTTTAATTGACTCATTCTGCTTTTTGCCTCATTTAACTTCAGTAACATATTTAGATCTTGGTGGTAGTCCGATGGCAGATGATTCAGTAGAAAATATTGTGTGCATAGGAGCAAAATTAACATACTTGAGCCTAAACAACACAAAAGTTAGCTCTGAAGGTATGGAAATTTTAGCTGGCCATCTTCCAAATCTAGAAACTCTGTTGCTGTCTGGAACTTACATTGATGATGCTGCTATCTCTTATATCGGAATGATGCCTTCGCTAAAAGCCATCAACTTGAGTGGTACCAAAATTAAAGGTGGTAACTTTTATACTATAGCTTCTTTCCTTTTTAACATTCTGAGGATATATAGAATCCAGTGATCAAATAATCTCAAAGGCCTTTTAGTATCCTCATTGGGTATACACTTTATTTCTTTGCATTTTTGCAATTTAAAATTGTTAACTTGTCATCGAAATGATACACATATATATGAATTCTGTTTTCATACGAGCAGTTTTGTGCTTATTATGTCTGTTTCAACTATATTATCCGTGGATTTACTCCTGAATTTCATTGATATCCTGTTTCATCAATACTGTACTGCCATGACATGCGCTATGTCTTATCCGTGTGAGGATTTCTTTCCGCAGGATTGATCATGCAAGAAGGTTCTGATTCTTCTTGGGTCCCCACGTTTTCTGCACTCCAGAATCTTAGCCAATTAGAAAGACTGGAATTGGAAGGGATGCAACTCAAGGATGCGGCGTTGTACCCTTTTTCCATCTTAAATAGTTTGACATATTTGTCGCTGCAAAGTGTCATCCTGACGGATGAATCATTACTCCTTTTGTCAGCTTCTCAGAAGTTGGAGCACCTTGCTATACGTGATGCGGTGCTGACAAATGCAGGGCTTAATTCTTTTACTCCACCACCAAATTTGAGAGTATTGGATGTCAGGGGTGGTTGGCTTTTAACCGAAGATGCTATTGTGTTGTTTAGTCGTAAATATCCCAACATTAAGTTGCGACATGAGTTAGCAGTATCAGACAGAGGTGGTGATTTCCGGTATTCGTCTCCAGCTGCTCAAAAGACAGTATCATTGAAGAATGCACGCAAGTTTTCTGTATCACCGCCTGTTTTTGATAAGAGTGCATTATTAGGTAAGGATTTATTGGAACTTTCCCCTTCGACAGTTAGGTGTTCTCTTTGATTAAATTTTTTGTTTTAATGATTTTTAGCAAGAGATCAACGGATAAAGTACACAAGAGAGGAGCTACTTGAATTGCAGTTTTCGGTAGCCCCAGCCCGTTTCTTTCCTAGATAAAAGTGGTAATCATAGTACGTTCGTTGAGCAAAACTAAAGAATGTACAATGTGTATGCCATTAAATGTTTTTCAAGATTTCACCATTAATCTTGTTTGCGGATGTAATATGAGATAGTAACAAGTATTTTGTAACTGAAATTTTTAGGGAATGTTATGTATGTTTCAGTTCAGTAGCTACAACTCTTTTTCTCATAACATATGTGTTATCGTCCAGTTTTCCTTTGATATCTTTGGCAGTTTTGTTTTGTTCACCCCATGTGATCACCAAAAGTTTGGTTCGATTTGGTAGTTTCTTAAAGCAATGGAGGTTTGTACCTCCTATTTTCAGATATCTACTTGTCCTAATATAAATGGTGTGAATGTTCCACATTCACAAGGACAAAGTATCTCTACTACGCCTCTAGTTGTGGTGCCTACAGAGGAAATCCAACTGATTTTTGCGATTTACAACCAACACAAAGGGTTGTCGGTTTTAAGTGGCGCATGAGACGAAAGTTGGCCAACTTGAAATGTCCACTAGTATGACTATTTGTTAGTGGTTATAGGCAGAACATCAAGTCTGTTCGAGAATTGCAAACGTCAAGTACCTGGTATGTTGGGGACAATGTAATTTATCTAGAGTTTAATTTTGAAGCAATTTTAAGAGTTGTAGACGAGAGCCGCATCTCATTTCTCTGTTGTGGTGGTTAATTTCCAGGATCAAGTACTCCTTCCCAATCACTATCGTCGTTGATCCACACTCAAAACAAACATAAAATAAAAAAATGTCATGCATTTTCACGGGTCCATATTGGAGGATTTTCGCAAGGGATATAGGAGTATACTACTAGGCTACTAGCAGTCGTTACTTTCGGGTTCGAAGGGGACAATGCCATACTTGCAGAAACTGCCTATAAACCTTTGTACCTTGGACTCACCAGGCGAGTGTTGAGAAGAAAACCCAAATAAAATAAGTTCATAGTAAAAAATATAAAACCAAATGCTTAAAAATTATTGTAGTGGTATTTGCATATTTGCCACTAATCAAAATATATACAGTACAAGGAACTAAATTTGGGTTGGGTACCAAATTTCTTATAGCATTGAGGATCGCCTTACCCAAGCAAACTCATTTGGCACTCTTGTACAAGTTATCAATGACATTCTGCAACCATTACACAAAAATATTAAAACCCTTGAAAATTATAATTCTGAATAAGTATACTGAAAAATCCAACAAATATAGAGGACCCTGTTTTGCATTTCTAGACTAGTAGCACGGTGTAGAACTAAACACAAACATGTAGGGAAACAACATTGCTTGTAAAGCATAGTAAACTACGGTACTTCATCACGTTATTCGTACTCCCGCGTATTTTCCAAGACAACTAACAGCAAAAGGTGAAGTTTGAATTAATGTATTCGGAGAATCAACTCCGTTAACCATTATGTAATGCATAAAGGAATCTAACTTCAACATCTCCAAATTTACTACCAGTTGTCCAAAAAAGCAGAAAGTAACAAAGGACTAAATGTTTTCCTTTTTTTTTTTCCTTTTGTTATTATCACTATCTTACATCAGTCTAATAGAATATGGGGTTCAGATGTAGCTCATGTAGTCACCAAGAACGACCCATGATGGACTACGAACTCCTCCATCTACATTCTTTACTATTCCAGACATTCAACGGTCACCACAACCAGATGAGTGGTAGACACCTGCCAGTCTGGTTAAATCATAGTTCTTTTTATTTGCCATCACTTAGATTTAAAACAAAAATAGACTAAAATACATCAGATTGGATTATCCTACTTGACACAAAAGCGGTGCACGTTGCTTCCTCTCCTACATTAGCACTTTTCAGCACGTCAAAATTCGGGTATATTTCTTTGCAGGGAAGAACACATTGTACGATTTTCAAGCGTGAGATTTACTCCAAAAAAAGGGGGGGCATAGTTCATTAGGTTTACATTAATATGAGATAAGTGGTTTTTATTTTCTATTTTAAAATATGCTGAATTTCTAAATTCACTATGTTGTTAAACAAAGTTTTGCACTCTATTTTTTTTTATTTCCTGTAATATTGCCCTCATTGAAATTATAAAAAATTACCCCTACTTTTTGAGTGGCTAATAAGCACACAGACAGTTATATAATATTAACTCGAAAACTGTACCAACACGACAACTTGCTAAAATTTTAGATGAACAGTATACAATGTCATGGCAAACGACTATAGGATTTATGTCACTGAACGGAGCATCAAATTATGCATAGATCAGCAGAACACAAAATTGAAGAGAACAGAAAAGATCACACCAAGGAGCACTTTGAACACAATTAAAAAAGCGATTTAGAAGCTCTTGAAGACAATTTAGCAGTTCATAATCCTTATGCTGTATATCAAAAGGAAATAAAGCTATTTGTGTTTGGTGTACATTTAGCATGAAAGGGGAATATCATTGTTCCAGAAGGCAAGCAGTAAAGAGATTTCGGATACTCAGCAGATTCTAATATTCATGCGGCAGTCATACATACATGCAGTCCAGATTGCAAAATAAAAGATAAAAAGGGTGCAAACTTGGCATAAGAACAGGAAGAAGCAGACATACTTGGTAATATTTCAGCAATTGGGGTCTCTTTTTCTTGAATGTTGGTGTAAGGAGGTCGCGTTCCATGTCAAAAGGTTCAGGGTCAAGGTGCAGAGCTTTTATAAATTCAAAGCCTTTCAACTGCAAAGACCACGACAAAGTTAAGACAAATATATTCATAAACTACATCTGAATCAGAGGAAGAACTAAGCTGTTTCAGGGAAGAGAATAATCAAAGGGGTGATGAAGTCATTAGGAAACAGAAAACCTTTTTCTCTTTGCCAATCTTAGTGAGCTCCCCAAGAATATATTCCTTCACTTTGGGATTCTCACATAGAGAATTGAAATCCCCACTTATTCCATTTTCTTCAGCCCATGCTTCAATTGCTTGCTTTTTAGGGTTAACAACAGCAACCAGGAAGGACTCAAAACTGTTTCCGTACACCCAGATCTGAAATTACACAAATAAAATAGCACGGAGAAAAATCAGGAACATGTGGCTTATATTTCAGACAAGACGAGATGTTAACAATTTTATTAGACCAACCCAGTCTTGGTCAGATAAAATATTACAGAAACTGAATACAGAACTGGCTGTTTTGTTCATAAAAAATTCCTTACATTGAGTCATTAAGTGATCAAACAAACCATAATGTCTAGAAAAATCAACAACTATAGCAAAGAGAACAAAAGAATAAACAAAAATAGAATCACGCCATAGAGTTAAATATTAAATTTTAAACAAAGAAAAATACAGTAGGATCTCTCAATCAAAACAAAAGGTAGGAATCACAAAGAAAAGAGCTAAAGGTAGAACACGGACTGAAAAATTGCACATTCATGAAGGAAACTGTCATTGTTGGAAAATTGAAGTACATGTTCAAGGAAAACAAGATTAAAAACAAGAATCTGCGATCAAACATACTAAATTCATATAATAATATTGATTAGCTCGATGCACACAACTAGCAGAGCAAGTTAAAATTTTTAGACACTTGTGGTTATCGGCATTCAATACAGAAATTCGATCATTTGAGTCAGGGACGGAATTATATTAACTGCTCGATCTTTCAGAAGAAAATGCACAACATACCGAGTCAATAACAGAAACAAGACCGTAAATGTTCTCCAAATTCTCCACAGCCACATACTCTCCTTGAGAGAGCTTGAAGATATTCTTTTTCCGGTCTATAATTTTCAAGCTTCCATTTGGTTGCCACTCGCCAACATCTCCTAATAAAAGTAACATTAAAAAATTGGGTCAGCATAATATACACAGTGCAAGAATAATAATCACAATCTAAGTCAAAATTCAGAAAGTTAATTCAAAACAACCTGTATGGAACCACCCATCTTCAAAAACTTCTTTCGTGAGATCATCACGTTTGTAGTAGCCTGAGAATAAAGTATCCCCCTTAACACATACTTCCCCGCGTGGATTGCTTGAAGAGAGGGCATCGTAATTCATTTCAGGAACAGATTCAAGACGAACATCCACATTTGGCACGGGCGGACCCACTGTACCCAGCATACTCATTTCATGTGGTAAAGAAACAAATGTACCGGCACAAGTTTCAGTCAGGCCTACATCAAACATAAAGAAAATTATATCTCTCTCAAGATTGGAAGTGCCAAATGTCCAATGAGAACCTAAATGAGACTCAGATTAATATATACAGTTTGATTACATATTAAAGCTAGGGACACAGTGCATTAACTGACAATTACTGCATACTTATTCAGAATCACTAGCTTACGTGCTGCACAAGAGTAATAAGCGATTGAAATCTAAAGGGCATGTCATACTAATTACTATTCCCAATGTAACTACACAACATTGAAATAATAAAAGTGATTAACACAGGTAATAAAACAACTGAGAAGCAACAAAAGAGTAAGTTAGCATGAGTAAGATGGGGCTGACTGCCCATGGACAGGGAATTGAAACTTAATAAAAACACAAAAAAAAAGGAAAGAAAAGAAATACCATATCCTTGAAGCACATGAGAGCAAGATACGACTCGTAGAAATTCTTCAACATGTGTCGCAAGGGGAGCGGCTCCAGATAAAATAAGCCGTACATTACCCCCTAAACCTTGCTTAATCTACATTGAAGAGTTAAACTCATCATTCCATTACACAATAAGAGCCCTCAAAGATTAGGATTTCAGAGTCTAGACTCAAGTAAAAGCGCAACCTTATTGAAAACAATTTTGTCGAAAACTGGAGCTGCCTCATGATGCTTAAGCCCCTTCCTCAGGTTGCGCAACTTGCTGCACATATTTCAAAAAGTGTAGCAAACTTAGAGATGAAATAAATATGTGTGGCGAAGAAATGATTTCAGACAGTATTTTCTGGAAGCAAAAATAAGTGACATTGCTGAAATTATACTTAGATCGGGGAATTCACAGAAAAAGAGTAAATGGTATATTAGTCGATAATAACAAGAAGATAAGAGTAATCACAACCTAAAGGAAAGTATATCAATATTCACAAAATATGAGTCTGTAAAATATCAAACATAAGGTAAAAGGGACCACACAGACGCACGCATACACACTTACTAGCCATATGCAAAGTTAAATAGGGTCTGTTTTATGAAACCTCCAGCTGCTATCTTCTGTTGCAATCCTGCAAAGTTTGAAAACATTTAATGCCATCATTATATAGAGACAATTTAAAATTATTCTAAAAAAGAGAGAGAATGGAGGGAAAGTCTACCCTGAGAATATTTACGTGCAATGAGCTATATGCAAACAAAATGCCACATGAACCAAGCCCAATGATTTTAAAAGAGTTTGAAACATTTGATAAACATTCCAAACATCCAAACACAAGCTTGACTGTTGCCACATTAATGATCCCAGTCGGTTCATTTATACAAAAGATGCAACAGTACCTGAATAAATTCTATCTAAAACCCGAGGAACTGCACAAAATATGCTTGGTTTTAACTCTGAAATGTCTTCCACCAATAATTTGACATCCTGCCAAGAACAAATGACCATGTGTTTACTTTCAGGTCTTGCTTTGTTTTTCTCGTCTAAAAAAATTGGTTATTATCTTACCCCACGCCAAAATCCTATTGAGGCTCCATGGTTGATAAAACATTCTTCAATCACGCGGTCAAATATATGTGCCAATGGGAGATAAGAGAGGTAAACATCACTTGTTGTCAACTGTCACAAACACACAAGATATTCATAATTGGATAAATCATAAGGTTAAGACAAATGGAAACATTCAGTCAATGCAATTTCCATGTGGTCGTGTTAAGAATTAATGACAAATTAGAGAGAATGTATTACTGATTCATTCACGCTCCCGAGTAGACGTTGTACGCCAGCTATAAGAGTCACAATGCTATTGTTAGAAATCATGACACCCTTAGGGTCACCGGTGGTTCCACTAGTATACATTATAGTACAAATGTCACTTTTCTTTTTCACGGGAAGGTCAAAGTGCTTATTTTCACCCTGCAACACATAAGAAAGTAGACAGAAAGATTACAACCTTATAACGTCTTCAAAAAAAAAAAAAAAAAGATTAACTGTATTTTATTACTTATCTACGGATGGAAAAAGAAGAGAATAAGAATTTATTGTGAGGTAGCAAATCATTTTCAACTAAAAAAGACATAACAAATTAAATGTAAAGCAATGATTATATGAAATGCAACAAGCATAAATGGAAGCCATCATCTCACCAATAAAAAAAATTCTTCCCATGCATAGGCAGCTAAACCAAATTTCTCTATTTCTTCTTTCTGTTCAGGGGTGAATTTCCCAAAGCTCACAAGTGCTGCAGTCAAATATGAAGAAATTAGTTTCCAAGTATTCTAGCGAAAACATTAAAAGTTCAGTGGGAAAACATGATATGATGTGCATCACTTACTTTTCAAGTATTTTGCGGCACCAGGAAAACTTTTTAGCAACTGAAAACGGTAAAACATGAAAAAGCTTGTTACACGATTGTTACAAAGTCAACAAGTTTGAGAACCAGTACACGCCTACAAAATTTCCGAGAACTAGCCAAGTAAATAAAATATTAATTAAACACCTCAGGAATCTTCTTCTCTTCAACAAAGGCTATGGTAACTTCAGCATGGCAAATAATGAACTCCACCGCACCGGCACCTAAACATACAATTAAAAAAAGTCATATGCCATCCATTAGCGGTTTGGATTAAGGGATTACTAGCAACATCAGAATTTAATAGGAACAGTACAAAGTAACAGAAAAAATGTAAAATACCCTCAACCTCTCTTTCCCTACAGAAAATGTAAGAATCCACCCTCTTCATTTCTTCTTTAAAAGGTGTTAAAGACAACTAAAAGCAAAAGATTTTGTGATTAAGAAATTATACCTAAGGTATCATACAAAGGAACACAGTGGAGCCCATGAGCATTGCATGCCTGCATCGTTTTGTCCAAGTCAGCACAAACATTTCAGGCATCTCAGAATTCTCTTATTTACAAGCAAAGGTGTGCATATCATCGGATAACATGAAGAAAAAAGGATTGAAACAACAATGAGAAACTTTCCTACTTGATATGGATGATGCAAAAATCTGATGGAAGCTAAAGGAAAGCGTTCGGTCTTTCAAAAACGTAATGTTGCAAAAAGGTATAGATTTGCAAAGCGAAAAATTCTCCTTGAACTGACCACAAGCAAAAAAGAAAGAAAAAAGAAAAAAGTGCTAAAAGTATACATCCCCACACCTTACACATAAGTTTACAAAAACTACATTTTAAGTCTTCAAGAGGACACTTCTTCATGAGGACATAGAAATTCAATTGGGTTGGTGGTTATTGTTATCGGATATATATTGTTAGTTTCATGACTTATCCTGTCATGGGAAAAAGAAAATAAAGAAATGATTGGGCATTTCTTACAAAGAAATTTAGTTATTTTTAAAATTTATGGATGATTTTTTAGTGTTCTTATGTCGCCCTGTTGCCGCATGACATCATATCAGGAAATAGTACATTTGTTGACCAAAAAATACAAATTCCCAAGGTAAAATTCGACAGAACCTATTGCTTGTACTCTAAACGTAATCAATTACTAGCACACACACAAATAAGTTTTGCAGCTTTGAGTGATAACATAAGAAAAAGCCAACTAAATATGTCAAAGAGGGAAAAAACAAAAACCTCCATGCTTATGACCCATTCTGCACTGTTGGCTCCATAAATACCACAACGTCCTCCCTATAAAGAAGCAACATTTATTAGTCAAATAAAGCCATAAACAGGTCCCAGATATTGTTGTTCTCATTCCATATAAAACTATGAGAAAACCCCAAACGTGAGGTTAGTTTATACGAAGGTTTTGCATAAAAAGTTTCCAGAGGCGAGTTGTAAGAGGAACACCTCATTGCATGAGCAATTTAATGTATGAAGATTAAAGGATAGAATAAGAATATTGGATAGCATTACAGCCATTAATTAATTACTCCAAAAAATAAAAGAGCACAAAATGTAAAAGGAATGGTCTATCATGACTTACTTCATCAATCCCAAGACTGCGAATGGAATTCCCCACTTTTATTACCAAGTCGTAAACTTCTTTATATGTCTGCCAGACATACTTACCCGCCTGCAAGAAGGCAACAAATGCAAATGAAAACAAACAAACATTAATGCTCACATTTCAAAGGACCGTGATTTAGTTTACTAATTGGACTGTTTAAACTGAAACCAAATGTACCTTTCCATCCACAATCTCTCGGCGACCAAGCATCCGGTTGTTAGGATATTTCTCCACTGAGAGGCTGCAAAATAGATAGACAATTTTCTCAGTCCTTACCTTTTCAATAATCTCCTCACACATAAAAACAACAAGGGTCCATGAAAAATTTGAAGCACATATATGAGCATAATAGCCAAGTAACTCCCAGAAACTGATACATAATGACGGAAAGAAACAGATACATGATGACGGAAACTCATGATCCAAACCAAATACCACTCTTTAAGCATGAATCATGCATGCATAAGGGATGAGTATCTTGCTCATTCCATATTCAGTTGAATTGGAAAGGAAAACAAATAATGAGAGAAAGTTTTATCTGAGCTTTGAAAACCACTAGGAGAGATATAAAAACGCAATCTTTTGTTGCACTCACTAGTGCATGTAACTATTGCGGCAGAAGCTAGACACACCTCTAAGTTTCTTTCAATTCTGTCTAATTAGAGTCAATGAGCAACTGAAATACAGTGAAACCAGTTCCCGAAAGCTCAAACAACCGATCAGGAACATATAGATTAGCCTATACCGCAAGTCAGCAAACCAGATACATAGGAAGGACAAGTTAAATCTTTTAGGAGCTCTCAAAGAACTTGCAAATCTAAACTGTTCTAAATTCATATAAATCAAACGAAAGACAGTTTCAATTTGCTCACGAACAAGTAAAATACAAGTATCATTATAATCACACGTACTGACAAACGACCGACGGAGTTAAACACAGCGGCGATAAGCCAAAACATTCAATCCCAAATCCAAATCGAAATCCATGCAACCACACGAAACCGAACGAAATAATAAAACGCAGCATCCGAGATCGAATCATCAGCACAAATTCCATATTCTCCCATTCCGAACCAAATCGACGTTACACTAAAACAAAAAAAACTACTAGAAAAAAAGAGAGAGAACTCACCGGAAAATATCCCAACAACTGTCAAGACCTTCAATCGGAGGAGGAAATCCATCCTTAGCGAAAACGCTACGGTAAACAGGTCCGATCGAGGGCTTACCATCGGAAGCAGGCTTCCCCGCTTCCACCTGCATTATGTACGATTTGTTCTCCGCCATCTCAAACAAACAACAGAATTCTTTTTTCGCCTTATATAATTTATATATATATATATATATGTAAAACTCAATTCGTCCTGGAAGAAGAAAAAACCAGAGAAGCAACCTTGTGTTGAGTCTAGGTTTGAAATTGACTTTGACAAATAGGAAGAAGAGAGAGGAAGAGGAGGGTGGGTTGGGCGTCAGAGGTTTTTGTTTTGGAGTGAGTTACTTCTTCTGTGAGAGAGTTTTGGGAGAGTTAGGAATTGGGTTTTTGGTGGCTGAGAAAAATATAAAGAGCCTTCGGGTTTTTTTTTTTTTTTTAATTGAAGCTTCCAAAGTTTATTTCAATCAGTTTTTTCCAGCGTGCGTTTATGGTTGTTTTACGAGTCCAAAAAAAGCTTTTTCTCGTGTCCAGAATCTCTGAAAATTCGGTTTCGCTCATTTATCCGGATCCGGGTTTGATCTGTATTGGATTTTTTCTTTCCTTTTCTAGTTTTTTTGGGGGTGGTGTTTAGATAATGATTATGTTACCAAACTCAACTAACTAAAGACTTAAGGGGGCGTTTGGTTGATGGGTCTTGGAATGAAGTAATGGAATAATTCCTATTATAAGTATTTGGTTGGCGAGTTTTAAATTGGTGGAAATGGATCGATTTTTTATTATTTAAAAATTCTCTAAACCCACCAGAATGGTAGGTTTTGATCTAATTCACGATTATGTAACTTTTTTTTTCAACTCATTATTTTTTATGACAATTTTATGTTGTATAAAATTTTTTTAGTACATTATATTATAAAATAATTTTTCTTAATTTATATAATCCAAGTTTTTTAAACAAATTTTCTTCATTATATAATTCAATTTTTTTTAAAAAAATTCTCATTATAAGTTCAAGTTTTATGGAAGAAGAAAGTAACGCAGTGGTATTATATATATATATATATATATATATATATATATTCTCCATTTATGGTTTCTGAGTTTGAACCTGGGCATCTTATATTTTTTATAAAAAAAATTCAAGTTTATTTAAAAAATTTTAGTGATATTTAAATTACCATCATCATTGAATGATGTTAAATTTATTAATTTATGATTTGTATTGAGATTAAATGGCAGAATTTGTTTATTGTATTAGATTTTATGTTAAAATAATAGTTATTCGAACTCAATCAAATTAATTATTTAAAAATATTATAAACTAGATTATTTAAAATAATTAATTAATATAAATAGTTATTAATGTTTTAAAATTTTGTTGTTAAATTGGAGTACCATTAATCAATTAAATAAAATAAATATCTAAACATTTATAAACCAAACAATTATTTTAGAATGGATATGCATATATAAACCCTTTTTATTATCATACTTAAACCCATAGTAAAACCCATCAATATACAAAATTAGTTCAGGGAATCCAGGTGCTAATTTTTTTTTTCTTTTTGTTCTACTTCATTTTATAATTTGGTTTTTTTAATCTTCATTTTTTTACTGCTACTAGATTGAAACTCGAGACGGTTTTTATTTATTTATCACTACCTCTATCCCAAAAAAATAGTCCACGTTGAGTTTTGAGATTTGTACTATGTACTAAAATTGGTACAAATTTCAAAATTCAATGTGGACTATTTGTTTTGGGACGAATGTAGTATTTGTTCTCTAAACAACTCTATACCCCTTACCTTTCACCTAATTTTCCAAACCGGGAGGAGTATTTTGTTTTTCTTTTTGGTTATTAAGTAGTATAGAATATTTCTCTAATCTTTCTTTTTTTTTGTGATGAAAATTTCTCTAATCTTTCTATCTTTGTAGCAGCAGCAATAAAGTTTCTCCCTCAAAACCTGGGGTCACTTTATTCAGGAACTTTGGAGCTTTTCTTTTACATTGCACCCCATCCCCAAAGAAATGAAAAATAGTCCACAAAGATAATAGTACTATTATTTAATTTATTTATACACAGAAAAAAAAAAAACCCTGTTATTCCTCAATGTACTGTAGTACTACACGAGAACGTCTAAATTTATTATAGGAAATCAATTGTCTTAATCAATTATATATGCTAGTTATGATTAAGTAATGATGATTTGTTGCACACGAACAAGAGATTTGAGACTACATTAACTTTATTTTATTTTATTCAGCATCATGCACCAGATTAAATGTTTGCTGACTTTTTTTTGGCATTACAATTTTTGTGCATATATCAAAACCAGTAAATAGATAGATGGATTGTGTGGCATTTCAATGAAACGGTAAATGTCCATCGCGTAGGCATGTCCATAGTTCCAAGAACCGGCGGTTCTGGTTTTAGAACTAACGAATCTAAAATTATGATAATGGGAATCGAAACCGAACCTTGAAATTGCGATTCTGGTTCTGATTTTGGAACCACACGTTTCGGTTTGGTTACGATTCAGTTTTGGTTCTGACATGTAACAGTTTTTTTTTAGTATAACTCAAGTATGTATGTAACAGTTTTCTTGTGAGTTTTATGTTGAGTTTTAAAACTAAAAATTTAGATTTCTATTTAGATTCGATTTGGTGTCGGTTTTCAGGTGATTTTATGAAGCCTTTTATAATTTTAAGTTATTAAGACATTTTTTTAATAAAATATCTTAAAGAACATAAAGAATTAAACTAAATCACAAGTATATGAAAAATCTTTTAGGGAACACTTGTCAACCTACACTGTAGTATCAATTATCAATGGCGCTATTTTTTTCTTCCATCAACTTATTCTTTTAATTAAAAATGATAATTAATCATTATAGAATTATACACGAGATATGTTAAGCACGTACATATCATAATAATTTTTAATTTTTCTTATAAAATTAGACTTAACCGACTGTTTAGTACGATTAACACCGCCGGTTAAAACCATTGGTTAGAAGCGTAGATTTCTAATTTCCTAAACACTAGAATCATAACCAAACATTCATCACATGATTCGGTTATAGTTCTTAAAACCGTCAATTACGGTTATGATTATAAAACCGTACTCGACAATTCGGTTTCGGTTAGAACCGGAACCGTAGACATGCCTACCATCACCATAGATGTTATGGATCAGAATACCATCATTATGTAATGCTGAAATTCACATGTAAAATCTTTTATTATTTCGTTCATTGCAAATTTATTTGTTGCAGTATATATACATACACAAATAATGTAGAAATATCAAATCCGAGGCGACGATCCATTTTCTTCACCGTCGTAACACCGATTTGTTATTATATATTCTTTTCGTCTCAAAAAAAAAAAAAATCTCTCCTTGAGTTTTGAATTAGATTACTATGTATTTATGTTTAATTCAATGTGTTTTTTCTTTTAGAAAAACAAAATATAAAAATATCTATGTATTTATGTTTAATTCAATGTGTTTTTTCTTTTAGAAAAACAAAATATATTTTAAAAATATTATACAAGAACAAATAAAATTTCCTATCTCACTTAATTTGTACTATTAAAAGATGTTAGTCATGCCCATCGGTGGATACAATATTATTTTTAAAACATGACTATCGAAATGGAACCGGGTAAGAAACAACTAATTACAACTGTCTGATGTAGCGGAAATTGCTAGTCCATGCATGACTATTGCAAAACTCATGCTTAATTACGAACGGAAAGATCAACCTGCCAACAAATTATTTAGTAAATTTGTCATTTTGTTAGATCGTAAGCACATTTATATTGTTGAGAATGATTTTGTTATTATTTATAATAATAGTAAGTAAAATATTTATAAATTAATAATCGATAAATTAGTAAATCTCTTCGTGTTCCAAGTTAGAATCAGAACGAAAAAACAAAGGTAAAATAAAATAAAAAATATTGAATTTTCAAAAACCTCCTATGTAAATATAGGTGCTGCCAGTATCATTAATGAATAATGACTTACAAAATATATAAAAGAAAGTAAGAACTAGTAAAATAATACTAGCTACAATATCTCCAAATATTTTATTAACTAATCATTATTTTATCGATAAATTAATACATCTACAAATTAATAATAGTATCGTACTATTATCTTAACTAGTGGAGTAGGTAACGGTTACTAATTAAATTTGTCACTTTTGAACGTTGTTTTCTGTGCATTTTTTCCACCTAAATTGAGGATTACTACTGACTAAAAAAGATGGGACAAAAAAGGATAGAGAACAAATGGTGAAATGTTCAACTCCATACTGCCATTATATGATCAGCAAGGATGCATTACATTTATTTCCACATCCCCACGTATAAGAGATAAAGGTGACATTGATAATGACAAAGGAAGAGTACAAGAAAGCTCAAGATTTTATTAATATAGTCAGCGATCAAAATAAATTAGTTAATATTTTTGTACTATATTTGTTAATAAACCATTCGAATAATTAATTATTCATTTTGTGAAAAGTATGAACTGAAATTGAGGTCGTCCAATGGATATTTCAACGGGAATGGCAGGAAATAGAATTGTATATATTGACGGATGACGTGGTTAAAAAAAATGTTGAGTCAAATCAAAGACATGGAGTCATGGACTGAGTATCCAACACTGGAGAACCAGATTTGCAAGAAGATACATCTCGATCACATTCGGTCGTTGGATAAAATTGCATTCTTTTGGTCTTAAAAGAAATGATCCACTTTATTGTATAATTCTCGTTTAAGGGGAAAAAAAAAACTCATTTTCATGGCTAGACGAAATACATCTTTAAGAAAATGAATTATATGATGTGCTATATTATGCACAAATATAAATTAATTAATTTATTCAATTGCGGATAGTATACATTTATAAGATTGCTCTAGCTCAGGTAGGATTCCTTATTAACATATTATTGTTGACATTTTGTGTAGAAATTCACAGGATATGTATAGTGATTTGTTTCCCAGTTCCTCCGATCTTTTTTTTAAGAAATAAATTTTAAATAAATGTAGTTGAAATTGTACCTAATAAATACTCACTCCGTTTTATGATTATTGTCCAATTTGAATTTTCATTTCTAATTCAAATTGT